CAAGTATGCTATCTAAGGCAAGGTGTATGATTTTGATAAAGTTTTATCAAAACAATCTAGTATCAAAAATCTGAACTTTGGTAAGAAAGTCAACTGATTTCTGAGTACATGTCAAAGCTAGTGGGAGCATAAGTATCATGCTAATAATCATCACGTTAGTGGGAGCATGATAATTATGATAAGTATTGCAAGTTAGCAATGTTAATTATAGAAAACAAAAGGTTTCAATTGGGAAAAAGTTGTTTTGCTATAATTAAGGGAGATGAAATTATACTTCATCTCAAATCTATAAGCTTAGATCGTGAGGTTTAATCATTTAGTCAACGATATATATATATATATATATATATATATATATATATATATATATATATATATATATATATATATATATATATATATATATATATGAATTTCATGTTGGAATGACTCAACATAAGGAAATTTTGTATATGGGTCCACTATGAATCGTCTCTCATATGCTTCGAATATAGGATCGATTGCATGTGCTATATTCACCCTTTCTAAAAATTTCCAAATGTCTGGGGCATTAAGAAGGGAAAAGGTCTAGAATTGGATATGACTAAAAGGATTAAACAATTTCCGAGGACAATCTAAGGTTTTCCAAAGATTGGTTGCTCAAGGACAGTTGGAAGTATAGTGATAATTATGGACGGACCATATTGACATAATCTGTAAGGAGGCAACTCTTGTTCAGAAGTGATAGTCAAAATGGAATCTGGAAATGTTTCAAAGTTAGAAATTATTCAATCTGTGTAAGATTACAAAACTTAATGCAAGAAGGATGTTTCCAAGGAGCTGATCTCCTTTGGAATGCTCTGTAATGTTTGTTGTCAAGTCTTTCTGACTTTGTGCATAATCATTACAAGGGGATCAATTCATATAAGTTTAGAATCTAACAGATTTCAGTAAATGACATGAATTTGGAATTCTTGCATTTGCAGTTTTTATTTGGGACTGTGAAAAGAGGGTCATTGGAGTTATGTTCAATTGATCTATTTCACAAAGTAAAGATCATAGACAAACATAGTATGCATACTTGATGTATGGCATGACTAGTGTTTAGAAAACATAGTGTACATGCTTGGAGCATGGGAGAACTATTGTTTTAAATTGAAGAATAAAGTTGATAGCTGAAACAGTATACAATGAATAATGTGTAATCGTATGGTAATATAAAAGGTGTTTTATTTATGTTCATAGGTTTTGATACCATATTAGATTCAATTATTCTTGTGTTTCATTTTGCATGTTTTTAACTTCCAGAATAACTAGGTCATTGTGCTGGATGACTAAGTTATTCAAACCATCCACAGTCGGTCATATGTTGGAAGTAGATATGAATAAAGACTGTCATGGGTTGGCTTGTAGAGGTCTAAGATGTTGGACAAAGGGCTACAACACTCATGAGTGCTCATAAGTTCTGAGTATTGGATTCAACCTACGCTCATTGGAATCACTTCATGGATTTTTATCACGAGTGATCATGAGACGATAATATCTTATATTCTTCAAACCTAGAGATATGAGTTGTTACTATGAGTTGGTTGTACATTGATTGCACGAAAACGCATTCGGTAACTCGGTGTTATAAAACGTGCCTTTGTGTATGATTCAACAAGTAGTAGAACAAGCCATATGAGTCGAAGTTTATCCATTCCTTTTACCTTCGAGATAAAAGCGATATCTGTGGGCCCCTCGATGATTTGATGATGACAAATGGAAGTGCTCGGCCGAGCCAGGACTGATTTGATTTGTTCAATTAGTTAGTCGTCATAAATCGAAAATCGGGAAACAACAAATGGACAGAGAGAATGATTATAATCCATGTCTCAGTCCATATGATATCTAGAATGGAGGAATATATGATCCCCTATCTAATGGACGTGTCATTGATTTGTTCAGAGTTCGACAGCGGTTTTAAGAGCTACGATTGCTAGTCGGGTTATGAAGTTGTACTTGCAATAATAGTTTTAGACTTATCCAAGTGGGAGACTGTTGGAATAGATGTCTAAGCCCATAACTATTATTGGTATGTACTTGACCCGAGAGTAGCATGGTCCATTTGGGTTGCATATCATCAAGACAATTTGTTAGGATAGACTTTTGAGAGAAGGTTATTTATGGTTTATTAATATATTATAAGTTATAATATATTAATATGAAATCATATGTTTTAATTAGTATCGATCAAGAATTAATTTGGAATTAATTTAGTGATCAAAAGAGACTAATTAAATCTATGGGGACTAATTATGATAATTATTTATATTTATATGTGTTGGGTTTATGATCCATGTTGGACCAAGTTTATGTATGGATACATAAAGATTTAGGCCACATGAACCATGGATCATAAAACCCATGGGTATGGATTATGGGTGATACCCATGACCCTTGGAATCCTACATATAAATAGGTTACTCCATAGCCAAAATCACCACTTCTTTTCTTAGAGAAATATGGAGGTGTTTTGGTGCATGGAATTCTCTCTCAAGAGCCACCTTTGTCCTAGGTGTGTTGTGATTCCATTTGAGGCATTTCATACTACTGGTGCTACGATCTTAAGGACAAATACATCAAGACTTCAAGACACATAAAAGGTATGTTTCCCTAACTAGTATAATATATGGTTTATGTCAAATGCATGGTAGTTATAGGTTTAATGCCTTGGAAACCATTTGCATGTATAATTAGTAAAAACATAGATCCAAGGTATTTAGGGTTGTATGTGCACCATAGGATGTTGTATTATATCAAAACCCAACAATAACAACATACAACACATACATCTCATAGCATATACGACATTCCGGTCACACATAGGTACCCTTCTAGGTATAGTATAGTGAGTAGACTCACCTCAATGAAGTCGGATAAACTCTCGTACTCAACGTCCTGACCTAGCCTCCTCCTATCATTAAAATAACATTCCTGATCAATACTCTCTCATAGTCTCATCCCTAATGATTGGGTAGAAGACCATTCTACCCTTCCCTAAATTCTTGTGAATTAGTCTTGACCAAAACCCTAAGGTTAACGGAAGTCAACGGTCAAACTTTGACCCGACTCGTCGAGTGCACATGGGTGACTCGGCGAGTCCATGCGGGTCCTATGAATCCTTCTAGCCTCTCATGGCACGTCGATTCATCCCTCCACTCGACGGTTTCCTCCTATCATGAATCGCAGGGCAACCCCGACTCGACTCGTCGATTCCACTTATGAACTCAGTGAGTTGATTCCATGATCATACTCAAATGACCTTCTGAGGTTAGATCTGCTTCTCTAATCTATAGATCTGACCTTCCCAAGCATGATAATCACGTAAAGGCTCGAACTTTAGGCCCATGCATAACACTATCACCTCTATATGCCAAAATAACCCTTAATATGCTAACCTAAGCCACAAACGCATAAAGGACTACATAAAGCTAGAGAATAGGGACTCTTTGGACCTCTCAAGGTCCAGATATGATGATATTGACACAAGAGGACATCTTATACACTAGATCTCTTACCAAAAGAGGAGAAAAAGCCGTAGATTCATGAAATCTATTACTCAATGAAAATGGACATGAATCCTTGCCTCCTACAGCAGCTTTGCACCAAATGATGGAAGATTTGAGTCCCATAAGACTGCTTAGCTCGAAATCCTCCCTTCCCTTTGCTAAAACACACCAAATAATGATGAATTAGCCCTCCTCTTGCACTACAAACGTTCTCTCTGCTCTCTAGGGTTTCTCAGGGGTGTAATGAACGCAAATGAAGGCCATAAAGGCCTTTAAATAGGGCACAAACCCCGAGTTTAGGGTTTCCGCCGCCATCACAAACTCGTAGAGTCCCAAGCCGACTCGTCGAGTCCAATCATTAATCCAGTCATCAAATCGCGATCCTACTCGACGATTCTAGGCGCCAACAATATAGAATTACCTGGGAATTAACGAGTTCTAAGAACATGACATTGGAACAGTTAGAGCAAGTCTTCAAAATTATATTGTGGATGTACGTGGAGATGCAAGGTTTAATAACTTGAAGGGAATTGGAAACTTGGCAAAAATGATGGTTGAAACGAACAAACATACGATATATCCAATGGTGTATCTTTTACTGAAATTAGCATTGATATTGCCCGTTGCAACATCCACAGTGGAACACGCTTTTTCTGCAATGAAGTTGATAAAGAACGATTTGCGTAATAAAATGAGTGATCCATTTATGAATTGATTGTCTAGTTTCATATATTGAGAAAGATGTGTTAGATGGTATTAGCAACGACATACTTATAGATTTTTTTAGGGATATGAAACCTTTTCGTGAACAATTGTAAGAATTTTTTTTTTTTTTTTTATTATTTTTTTTAAAATTAGTTTGATCTTTGGTATTCAAGTTAAAAAAATGTTTTCCTAAGATGATATTACTAACAAACCGACCTGATAACCATTTTTTTGACCCATTTATTTTATCATTTCATTTATGGGACACAAGTTAGTTTGAATCCTAGATTCGTCATTGGTCGACCGACTAACAACCTTCAAACATTTTTTACAACCTTATAAAATACTCAAATAATTTTTCGAATTAGATGATATAAGAAATTGTAGAAATCGACAAGGTTTTATGTTGCATATGTCATATGGTGGAGCCTTACTTCCGATGTGGATCAGGTTCCTTCTTGGTAATGATGCTTCCACCTAACGAGCCACCATGTTGTAATATAGATCTCATACGATGCTCTTGGGATCAAACAAGTTGACTGACTTAACTATGCCAACATGAAACCCTATTTGTAGAAAGTTATTGCCGAAACAATATTTTCTTTACCTATCACGCTAAAACGTTTTATCTATAATTCATTTATACCATCAATATTATGACAATTACATTTGTGTTCAACCATCTTCCAAATAAATAAATAAATAAAATAAAGTAAAGTCCGAATTGAGTTACTTTACAAATATATATCATGAAGGGCACTTGGGTCACATACCTTCTCCCATGATATGGTGAAGCATAGGTAGGGAAGAATCATGTGGTGAAATTATTGAAGTTGTACTAGCACTCTTAAATGTTGTAGAGTCGTCAAACTCGAAAAAAGTCAAGTACTCGGGTCGAGTAATGACACCACTTACTTCTATGTCTCCGGAAAGCATTGCCACCACACGAGACATTGATGGACGTTGTGTTGACGATGTTTGAGTGCATAAAAGGCCAACTCTTGTCATTCTTTTCACTTCGGTCTCATCGAATTCAGACAATTCTTCATCCACCAACTCTAATTCACGATTATCTTCATGTAGCTTCCATGCCTAAAATAAAATCATACCAAAGGCCAGTAAAGATTATAAAATTTGTATCATCGGTTGGTCGTCTATTTTCAACTGCATTGACAATGCTATTCTTTTTTCATGTATGAGTTTTATTAAATTTTGTATTCAAGTAATTTTCTTATACCACGGCATACGTGAAAGTTCGTTACCTTAATTGAGAAAAATTTAGCAGTTTGTAACCTTGAATAGATTTTTTTTAATGTTTAGGCCGTTTCGTCAAAAGAAGTATACTTTAAAATATTATAACCAAAGTTATATTACCTTTTTATGGAATTCTCTTTAATTAGTTTATTATATAAATCCTTCTTTTTTCTTGGTAAGAGTAGGCAAGTGTATAAATTTGTATGTGGATATTTCGGCATGTATCAAGAAGAAGATGAATCATACCCAATTAAGAAGGTATATTTTCTCATCTTCCAAACTTGAATCAGAATTGGGCCTTCCACTGATAATCTCTAGAGCCACAACTCCAAACCCAAACACATCAGCCTTCTCCGTAAGGTGTCCCCACATTGCATACTCTGGTGCAAGATACCCACTACACAATGAATCAGTAAGACCTAGTCAACTTGTTGTCACTTAAATGAGAAAAATTTCAAATATCAAGTAATTAAATCTTACAATGTCCCTGCAACACGAGTATTCAAGTGTGTTTTCTTGTCATCATAAAGTTTGGCCAGACCAAAATCCGATATCTTAGGATTCAAATCAGAATCTAGCAAAACATTGCTAGATTTCACATCTCTATGTATAATCCGTAAGCGAGATTCCTCATGGAGATATGCGAGACCCCGTGCTAATCCCATGCATATGTCGAAACGGGTGGACCATTTAAGCGATAATCTGTTGCTTCCTACATCATAGACCCCAAATGTGACATTATAACATTGTACGTTGATCATTTCTAAATATGTAATTTCTCACCAAATAATGCTTGGTCAAGACTTTTGTTTTCAAGATACTCATATACAAGAAGTCGTTTCTCTCCATCAATGCAGCATCCGTAGAGTTTTACAAGGTTACGGTGTTGGACTGCAGATATTGTAGCAATTTCTGCCACAAATTGACTCCTACCGTGTTGGGAGGCTATGGATAGTTGTTTGACAGCTATAACTCTTCCATCTTCAAGTGTTCCCTGTTTGGCATCAAAGATATTCAGTTTAAATTTAAGAAGCAATAATTAAATTCTTGATAAGAAAAAAAGAGTATAAATTACCTTGTAAACAGGTCCAAAACCACCCTCCCCAAGCTTATTTGTAGGACTAAAATCATCTGTTGCATCTCTCAATTCTTCATAACCAAAAGTATATGGCTTGGCGTCAATTCCCAGAAAATCTGCAATTCAACAAAAGAAAATGTCATAATGAAATGCAAATAAAACAATCGAAAACATTTTTCATATATGTCATAAAGAAAGATTAAGAAAAAAACACCTTCATAATTGTCAGAGGTATCCTGCCTTTTCCTTCGCTGAAGAAAAATATACAGGGCTAATAATGTCAAAAAGCTCGTAGCTGCAATTGGAACCAAAATCCCTACAATCAAACCGGTGTTGTTCTTGTTGTTGTTGGAAGGTGGATTGTTGTTCATGCTAGGGATGAAGTCTGTAAAAAAACAAAATAAGTAAAGGGCAGTCTCATCATTTGTCAATAATCAAGAGCAAAGAGTTAAGAAAACAATTTGATGAAAAATTATTTACTTGGGGTGGCAGTGATTGCTGAGATAAGAGGTCCAAAAGTTCCATCATCAGGCACACAACAAGTCCCCTTTCCAGACCAAAATAAATGTATCTCAATGTAATTATTTGAAACCTGAACCATTACTTCCTTCGAAACAGGACTAAATGAAGCTCCCCCGGCTTCCCTCTTTATATCAAAATCTTCAAACACCCGATTTCCCTTGAAAAACACAAAATTTCAGAGACTGACTTATAGAAATTAGGGCATAAAAAATCAGTTATACTCGGAGACCAAAAATGTAATTTACTTGGACTATAGTTGATTTTTTAAACTTTGGTCCTAGAAAGTTTACGCTTTCAATTTTTAGTCTTCATTTTAGGTTTTTGTAACATTTCAGGTCATGTTCCCAGTAAAAATGACTACTTTTGGTCACCGAGTTTAGCTGATTTTTTGCAATTTTGGTCCAAGAATATAGTCATGTTAAACAAGGTCTAAAATGGCAAGAGAATATTTTTTGGGACCAAATCTGCAAAGATCGGCCATACTCGTGTGGTTTGGTTGAAATAGCAGGTTCAGTCCAATTTCAATTTTTGTTGCATGGTCGGTTGTCATTGTTAAATCTAACAACTCAGCCGTTGGTCTTTTCAATAAAAGCATTTTAACCTTGGAGAGAATCAGTAAAAACAATATTGTAATTATGAAAGTATATTTAGCAGAGAGTAGAAACCTGGACATAAATGTCAAATACGCGCCTTCCAAGGCTTCTCCAAGTGGAACCATCTTCTATTGCAAGTTCTGCAAAGCGGAGGTTTACAGTGTAGTTACCATTTTCAAGGCCTAAACCATAATACCTTAAAGATCCAGCAGAGAGTCTTGCTGTTTGGAAAAGTTGTGAATCTGAAGTGTTTGTGAAGTCGCGTGTAGTGGAGACTGTATATCTGGGGCTGTCACTTTGTCCCAAATTGCTGACACCCCACCTCCTCTTGGGAGTCGAGTAGTACGCTGCTGGTCCTAAAAGTTGGTTGTCTTGCTCGTGGACTATTTGACTTGAGGATGTGATTCGTGGGCCACCACAATTGATTCCAAAGGTACTATCTGTAAAGATTCATTTAAAGGTGACAAATTTTTAAGTGTTAACATAAAAAGAGAAACTTTTTTTTTTTGCTTACATCTTGGTGATCCACGATCACAAGGAAAATCCCTTTGGAGACAATTCAATTCTGAGGGCAAAGCACTGAGACAGAAGATATTGCATTTTAATTAGAAAGGAGCAGATAAATAAACGAGTTAATCACAAAATTGGAAATTTTGTATCACAAAATGACCGCCTTCTCAACTTTTAACACAAAAGGACCACATATTTTGCTTTGCCAAATTACTTTTTATGGCACCTACTTTGCTAAAAAATGTTCGCTGATTCGTGAAATTACTTTTTATGACATTATATTTGCGATTTTTTTCGCGAAATTTTTTTTTTTTTTTGGAAATTGGGTTAACTTAAGTATTTCTTTGAAATGTGTTAGAATGTAAATACTGTTCAAAGGTGTGGTAGGCGTTTATTGTTCACAGTTCTGAGTTTTCTTATTAGGGCACCCTGTGAGTGTTTTGTTTTTGAGTTTTTCAAATTGGGCACCGTGTGAGTTGGTTCTTTTGCCGACGACTTGATCCTTGGAGAGTCTAAAAAAATGACTATGAATCGTGAAAAAATTCCTATTTCTAGTTTTGTTTCTGATATTACGCCTGAAATTCCTGCTTCTGGTTCAACTTCTGGTTTTGGTTTTGTTATTGTTACTATATCTGCGAAAGAGAACGCTTGATTTTTTGGATACGGAAATTAAAGATTAGCCAGTGACTGCTTTTCTGAGACGGGCAATTCTACTAAATGTTTGTTATCTTCTGCTTCCAAATGGGTCATTGATTCAGGTGACAGATCACATGATAGGTAATCATCATCTTTTGTCTGATTTCTATACTAATACATCAACATCCCACGTTACCATTGTTGATGGGTCTACTCCTGGCATAGTTGATCTTTCCCCATCTATTTCATTATCTTATGTGTTAAGCATCCCCATTTGAATTGGTTCACTCCGATGTATGGGTCCTTGTCCTATTACTTCTGAAATCGGGTTCAAATACTTTGCGACTTTTTTGGATGATTTTTCCTATGTTACTTGGTTGTATTTGATGAAAAATCGCTCCGAGGTATTCACCCATTTTTGCTCATTTGTTGCTGTAGATTAAAACACAATTTAGTCTCTGTGAAAACTTTGCGTAATGATAATGCAAAAGAATACACCTCTGAAATCTTCCGATCAAACATGCTTCAGCAAGGTATTCTCCATGAATCTTCTTGTGTTGATACACCTGTTCAAAATGGTGCCGCCTAATGAAAAAATCATCACCTTCTTGAAGTAGCTCAAGAACTATAATTTCAGATGACCGTAGCGAAAACAGTCTGGGCTGATGGAGTCTCTACTAGCTTGTTTCTCATCAACCATATGCCATCTACAGTTCTTGAAGGTGATATTCCATTTTCTTTTTTGTTTCCTAATAAATATCAGACACCGTTGAGCCAAAGATATTTGGTTGTAGTTGTTTTGTTCGGGTTCTCAACCTCAGCAAACTCAATCGTTCTCTCATTTCACCAGATGTCGGTTTTCTAGAAAAAATAGCATTTTTTCCCGATGACCAGCACCTGTAATCAAGGAGACAACGATGATTTGTTCGACTGTAGAGTCTCCCATGTGATCCAACTTTGATCAATCATCAAAGCCTGCAAGGCTGCTAGTATTTCATTTATATAGTAGGCAACAACAGCCTACATTAGCTCCCGATCCGATACCATCTTTACGTGCAGGTCCAAGTACTGATGATCCTCTTACTTTGAGCAATCATCAAAGCCTGCAAGACCTTGATGTTCCCATTGCCTTAAGGAAAGGGAAGCGTTCATGTACTTACCTTATATCCTCTTTTGTTTTCTATGGTAAGCTATCTTCAACTTCACGTTCAATGATCTCTACACTTGATAATGTATCTATTCCTAAAACGGTTGGTAAAGCTTTGAACCATTCTGCATGGCGGGATGCTATGATTGATGAGATCAATGCTCTCGATCATAATAATACATGAGATTTGGTAGACTTACCTGCGAGTAAAAAGACAATAGGTTGCAAATGGCTATTCACTGTGAAAGTAAATCCAAACGGGTTTGTAGCTCGCCTGAAGGCACACTTAGTTACTAAAGGATATGCTCAGACTTATGGGTAGACTACTCCGAGACATTTTCTCCTATAGCTAAGGTATCTTCCATCCAATCATTCATCTCATTACATGCTACTTATGATTGGTCCCTTCATTAACTGGATGTGAAGAATGTCTCCTTGTATGGTGATTTAGATGAGGAAGTTTATATGGAGCAACCACCTGGGTTTGTTGCTTAGGGGGAGTACGGAAGAGTTTGCGAATTATGCAAATCACTGTATGGTTTAAAGCAAACCCCTCAAGCCTAGTTTGGACTGTTTAGTGTTATGGTGACACAGTTTGGCTTACGGAGAAGCTCTTATGATCATTCTATGTTCTTTGCTTCATCCTCTTCATGATGTATTCTGTTAATGGTATATATTGATGACATTGTGATTATTACGTGTGATGAAATTGGGATCAAGAACTTGAAATATTTCCTTACATCTCGGTTTCAAACAAAGGACCTAGGTCTTTAAAAAATTTTTTTTGGAAATTGAAGTCTCTAGTACTCGAAAAGGGATTTGTTTGTCTCATCAAAAATATTGCTTGGATATTATGAAGAATTTTGGGATAATTGAAACAAAACCTTGCGAGTCTCCAATGATTCCAAATATGAAACTGAAAGCCAAAGATCTACTTAAGAACCCAGAGAAAGAGAAATATAGAAGAATTGTAAGAAAATTAAACTACCTGACGATTTCCCGTCCAGACAATGCTTTTCTGATGAGTGTTGTAAGACACTTTATGTCATCCCATTGAGTCATATTCTGAAGTACCTAAAGGTTCCTCTTGGTCATGGCATCCTATATCAAAATCACAATCATCATGTCATCGAAGGGTTCACCGATGTCGACTACAATAGGGGATCCTACAAATAAGCGGTCTACTACATGCTATTGTGTGTTTGTCGGAGGGAATGTAGTTTCATGGAAACATAAGAAACAGAATGTCGTTTCACTGTTAACTGTTGAATCTAAATATCGAGCAATGGCTCAGGCTACATGTGAGCTCACATGAGTACGAAATCTGTTGACTAAACTTGGTTTTTCTCAACCAAAGCCAATAAACTTCTATTGTGATAATGCAGCGGCTATCCAAATTGCAAACAATCCCATGTTTCACGAAACGACTAAACATATCGAAGGAGACTACCATTTTAAACGTGAAAAGCTAGAAGATGGAACCATCTTCGTTCCCCTTGTTTGAACAGAAAGTCAACTAGTTGATGTCTTCACTCGTAGATCTTTGCTATTTGTCTTGTGACCCGATGATGAGTGAAAAACCGGTTTTAAGGCATAAGAAGGATTATACAAGTGGTTGGTAATGCTCTTCAGCTTATCAAATGCACCAAGAACGTTTATGCGGTTGATGAACCATGTTTTTAAACCCATTATAGGCCGTTTTGTTGTTATTTATTTCGATGACATGTTGATCTTCAGAAAAGATACATAACATGTAACACACCTTCGGTAGGTTTTTACGGTCTTGCAGGAACAGAAACTATATGCTAATGGAAAGAAGTTCCATTTTCTTAGTAACGAAGTTATCTTTCTTGGCTATTTTGTTTCGGCTGACTAGATAAGGATGAACGAGTTGAAGGTTGAAGCCATCACAAGCTGGCTTACACCCACTATGAATCATGACATTCGTAGTTTTCATGGGTTGGCCTCGTTCTATCGGTGTTTCATACGAAATTTAGTATCATTGTCCCTATGACAGAGTGTATGGAAAGGACGAAAGTTCTATTGGACGAAAGAGGTTGGGAATGCGTTTCATGAGTTAAAGCGAAAAGTCACACAACTCCTATTTTAGATTTCCTAACTTTAGCAAAGTATTAAAGGTTGAATGTGATGCCTCAGGTCTTGGAATAGGTGGAGTGCTACATCAAGATCAGAAACCAATCACTTTTTTAGCAAAAAGTTCAACGAAATGCATCGCAAATATTCTATGTACGATAACGAGTTTTATGCCATTGTTCGGAGTTTGGAATATTGATGCCATTACTTGTTAGCCAATGAGTTCATTCTATGATCTGATCATAAAGTGCTCAAATACATCCATCCAGGGGCAACAAAAACTCAACCTTCACCATGCTTAATGGATAAAGTTCTTGCAAGCTTATTCTTTCGTCATCCGATACAAAGCGAGATCATAAAATACCGTTGTTGATAAGATAAGTTGACGACACGTACTCACATCTGAGATAAAATTCAGGTTCGGGGTTTTGAGACTTTTTGAGAATGATACCTAATCACGACTTCAGACTATATGGAACTAATGTCAAAACGAACCTCTTTTAGATTTTTCAAAAAATTAACGGTTATATATTCAAGGGTGCTCGCTTTTATTAAGATGGAGCGAGATGTTGCCCATTTGAGCGCACGTTGTCGCATTTGTCATGTGGCCAAAACCCACCGCACCAATGCAGGTTTGTACACTTCATTACCTGTTCCTGTTGCTCTTTAGCTCCTTAGGAGGACGTTAATTTGGACTATGTCTTGGGTTTACCTCGAACTCAAAGACATACAGATTCGGTTATGGTAGTTGTTGACAGATTTTCTAAAATGGCTCATTTCATACCATGTGTCAAGACCTATGACGCTAGTCAAATTGCAAGGATGTATTTTTCTAAAATTGTCAAGCCTCATGGAGTTTCCAGGTTTATAGCTGCAAACCGCAACATGAAGTTCATTAGCCATTTTTGGCGCACACTTTGGAAAAGCATGGACTCAAGGTTACAATTTAGTAGCTCTCAAGATCCACAAACGGATGGCCAAACATAAGTGACAAATAGGAGTCTACGGAACCTTTTGCAAAGCCTTATCAGGGACAACCGCACGCAGTGGGCTCTCATCCTTTCTCAGGCTGAGTTTGCATATAACCGTTCTGCCAATAGCAGCACAACTGGGTTATGCCCATTCATGGTAGTTATGGGCGAAATCCACTCACTCCGCTTGATTTAACGCCCATTCCCCTGATTGGCCATCTTGGTGTTGAGGCGGAAAGTCATTCCTAACAGATTTAGAATCTAGACGAAAAGGTACGAGATCAGATCATTAAACATAATGTTGGCTACCACAGTCACGCCAAGAAGCATAGGAAGCAAGTTGTGTACAATGAGGGTGATCTGGTATGGATTCGTCTGCGAAAAGAACATTTTCCGATTGGCCGTTTTGGGAAGTTGAAGCCTCGTGCTGATGGTCCTTTTCGAGTTCTTAAGAAGATTAATGATAATGCATATAAAATTGAGCTACCTGATCATTATAATGTTTCAGCTACTTTTAATGTGGCTGATTTATCACCATTTGAAGGGGGTGTGGATGCTGTATCAGACTCGAAGGCGGGTCTTTTCCATGGCGGGGAGGATGATGTAGGGGCATCCGATCACAAATATTGGCTATTTTGTCTCGTTTTAATTTATTTCCTTCTTTATTTAAAAAAATAAAGATTTTTATTAGAAGATTATCTCTATTTAGAGAGTATATCATCTCTAATCGAATTCCTAGGAGTATTTTAGTTACTTTTCTGTTTTTTCTAGGGTGATTTTATATTCCTTATAAGTATATTTTTTCCCTGGAGGATTTCATTATTGATTATTAAGAATAAAAATCTACCGAAGCTTTTAGATCTCATTCTTTACCTTGTGTAGTTTTGACCATCTGAATTCCTAAGTTTTGCATCAGAATAGTGATAAAAAGATGGTCATTTTGTGATATAGCCCTCCCATTTTCGGTCATTTTTGTGATAATTACTGTAGAAAGAATAGTAGAAGTAAGTTGCAGCTTATGTATAATTACCTGTTTGCTGAACTGCTTAAAGTGAAGTTGTTTGCGACTATGTTACTGTACACGCATTAAAACATAATATTAGCTAAAAAGTAAAAAACGTGGATGCTAGAAAATCAATTTCAAAGACAAGGTGCAAATCAGAATTTAAATTCAATATTTAAAAAAAAAAACAAGTGTATACACTTGTAAGGTCGGATCAGTGGCCCAGAAAGGAAGTGTCCCAGATAGTTTATTGTATGACAGATCACTGCATGAAGAAAATTGTACGGAAATTAGAAAAATAAAATCATTAATTTAATTCCCTTAATTATAATCACTTACATAATGCGGAGAGGCGAGTTCAAAGCCAAACCACCGGGAATAGTACCAGATAAATTATTGTTTCCAAGAAACCTGCGAATCATGACATGTAAATTTGGTCAACATTGAGACTATTGACCAAATAGCATGCAGATTAATATTATTTATGATAGGAGAATATGTGTATTACAAGAAATACATTTGCCTCAAGTAGAACAATCCATTTGGAATCTCCCCCCTCAAATTGTTGAAACTCAAATCCCTGAGAAAATAATATCAATGAGCTTTTTTTTCAATAGTTCATATTCATGTTTGACTTACTCACAGTTGTGTCAGGTTTACAAATTCTACTATGCCACCTGGAAGAGAGCCAGAAATTCTGTTATTCCTCAACTTTCTGCAAGAGATGACAACTTATTATAAATTTATAAGTAAACCGTAAATAAAACCAATATATTTGCTACAAAAAGATCAATGTGTTTGCTTACAGAACACTCAGAGACTTCAAGTTCTGAATAAAATCCAGAGTTCCATTAGATAAACCACTTATCCTACTGTAGCATTATATAAAGAAAATTAAGAAATCAAAATAGCAACCTGAAAACTATAAATCTATAATAATTAACTATAAAGAAAATAAAGGCTTACAGGTCCTGTAAAAGGGCCAGATTAGAAAATGAAGGTGGTATTGAACCTTCAAAAGAGTTCCCCTCAAACCTCCTATAGGAACATCAAGCATAAAAATTATATCGAAAAACTTCACAGTGAAAATCATGTAAATAGTTTAGATGCTTGCTTACAATGATTGTAACTGTGACCAATTCCCTATAAAGTCGGGTATTCTGCCTGTGAAATTATTATCAGAAGCCCATCTGTGAATTCATTATAAAAAAGAAAGTGTTAGAATTCTTATATGATGGATAAAATGCTCCTTTGAAACATGATTAAAGATAAACTCTCTTACACTGTCTGCAGGTTCTGTAAATTAGCAAAAGTAGGAGGTATATCACCACCAACTCACTATCAATGTAACTAACAAAATGAACATACATAAAGATGATATTAGATCATTTAATCAATGATATTGTCTACAAATATACATAACAGAATAGTAATGAAGGAGTTTGTGCCAAGTAATGAAACAGGATTTCAAGATGAGTGTTCTTACAGCTGTTGTAATCTTCTCAGATTTCCAAGTTCAGATGGCAGGGAACCACTGAAATTGTTTGTGCCAAATGCCCTGCAACATAAAAGAAAATAAAAAGCATAAATGTAATCAGCAAACAAATAAACAGAAAAAGTTTCCATTTGATGGAAGAATAAAGACAAAGAAATTTATTATAAAAAAATATACAGTGATCTAAGGTCAGTAAGCTGTCCTAGCTCTGGTGGAACCTGCCCTGATAACGCATTTATGCTGATACTCCTATGAAAAAGTTGAGATTCATCATGTTATATATCTGAAGTCTAAGATGTATTCTTAATGATATAGAGGTCAAAAATACCATTTGAGTTTAAAGTAGCAAAAAGGGATAAGGCTTACATGTACTGCATACGAGTTAAGCTGCCAATGGAAGGTGACAAGGGACCTGTCAAGTAATTCTGGGCTAAATTACTGTACCAAACAATTCATTTTTTATCATAATACAAGCACAGATACTCATAACACAGATGTATATATTTTAAGTTTCTATTGTAGTTAACAGTATGGTGAAGAAATAGCATAGTACATACAGATTGGTAAGGTAGGTCAAAGTCCAGAGTCCTTCTGGGATTGGGCCCACAGCATCCATTGCATTAACTTTTCTGATGATTTGCAGAGAGATGATGATTGTTAGAAGATAAATAAATAACAATCGAAGCCACCAAAAGATTATGTTCCTAGAGTTTATTCGGACATGACAGAGAGAGAGAGAGTTGTATATTTGAATTATTAAGGAGAAAGAACAAGGAGAAACACTCACAGTCGGGTGATGTGGCAAGTAGTAGAATTGGGGATATTACAGTCGCATTTGATGGCAGGATTGTAACCCTGGGAATCGAAGTCCGTGGTAGTGTCAACGGCAGTGCCGCTGCATAATTCTCCGCTTATGTTCCATCCCATCGCTGTTACTGCACTTTCAGATATCTCCCATTGACCGAACATTGCATTTATAACTCTCGCTGCAGCACCAAGTTTCTTAAGTTTCATTCAACATCGAGTTCTTAACTATGGTACTAGTACCCTATTATTCCTAAAGTTAACAAAATCGAAAACTAAATTCAACAGTGACTAGGTCGTGATCTTCATTTTGATCTTTTTTCAAACCTAATGGCCACAATCTCTATTTTTCGTACTACCAGCATTTGCCCGTTAAAGCGGGAAAAGGAGCAGTTAAATATGATGTAAGAAAAATCGGTGCATAGTTTAACACAACTATCAAATGCAACCTTTATTTTTTAGTTGAATACAAAAAGACACTCAAGTCAATCTAAGTAGTGTTTGTTTATTGTCTGCAGATCTGCGTGACTTCTTCTGTCTGCGCCGCGCAGACCACGCACAGACATTAGCCTTCGCAGACTGTTTGTTTTTTTGAAGATTGCAGACTTAAAAATGTCTACGCGTCCTCTTCTTGGCGCAGATGTGGATCAGAGTCTTCTAATATCTTCAGACATCTTCTAGCCTAACAAACACATATTTTTCTTTTTTTGAAGTTTTTTTTAATTTATATTTTTTCCAACTTTATTAATGATAAACAATTTGAAAAAAATTACAAAACTTCAAAAAAAAAACGTTCAACGATACAAACATGATACTTTTAACAAATTTATAAATAAATATTTATTACAATAATAGTTGTTGAAGTTATTTATATAAATATGAAAAAAAAATCATAATATATTTTTGTTGCCAAATTTTGTAAAACAGTATTTAATACAATATCAAATTCTGTCTATTTATCGAGAAAATATTTATGGTACGTTTTTAATGGATTTAATTGAAAAAATCGAAGTTTATTTTCATCCATGTATGTATCAAATTCTTTGATCCCTAGTTATAATGTTTTGTTATAACTTTGCAACCAAAGTTGTTGGTTTTATCAAATATATACGTTAATTTATAGCATTTTTATTTTTATTTTTTATACAATAATACATAAAAGTTGATCTAGATTCATTAATTATTTATAACAAAGTCATAAAAATATTAAAAAATCACTTTGAAGTTTAAAAAAATCAGGCTATTTAGATTTCTGTTTATTTTAGTAGTCCGCAGATGTTAAAAAAACAAACAGTCTTCTTTTTTCAGACTGCAGACGTTTGGTCCACCTCTTCTACTGTAGAGATCTATAGATGTGGTCCGTAGACTGCATACATTTTGTCTCAGAAAAAACAAACAACACCTAAGCAATTCCTCAAAATGTAGGTCTGCAATGCTTGACACGACCTGCGACATGACACAAAATAAATGGGTTTGGGTTGAATTTTCCAACTGTCAACCCGCCAACCCGTCAACCCGTTTATTAAACAGGTCATATATGAGTTTCGTAAAAAAATATATGGGTTGACCCGCCAACCCATTTAGAATTTTAATAAAAAAATTTATATATTTTTTAAATGTATTAAGTATTATACACTATACATTTTATACTTTATACTACAATAGGATACCCAATGTCATTGACTATTTGACCCGTGGGTAACCATCCGCTGATTTGCATTGCAACACGTTTAGGGTTTGCCCTAAATAATCTAAATATCCCACAAAAGCGACGGCAAAAACAATTGAATCATTATCGAACGATGTTGATGCTTGCAATTAAATTTATCTATGTTTGTATTAATGTTTTAGTCTGAACATGTTTACATGAATGTTTATAAATTTCATTTGGATGTTTAAAACTTAAGTTTCTTAAATTCGGATATATTTGCATACAAAATTTATTCATATTTAATTATCAATTTTATTTATGGAATCCGACTCACGAACATACGAACCCAAATCTGACCCGCGAACCTGCCAACTTGTGAACCTGTATAAATAAATTTGTTGACGGGTCATATATGAGTTTATGTTCCAAACCCGCCAACCCGTAACCTGTATAATTAAATGGATTGTGTTTGGGTTGGTATGTTTTGACACACCAACCGCCAACCCGAACACAACATGATTGTCACGCCTACCAAAAGGCAAAAGGGTTATGAATTTATAATTTAGAATCTAGAATTTCACAAACTGTCAAATGCAACGTTTATTTTTTATTCTAAACAGTTCTCATCCACGATAAGTCTATAAAATTTAGAATTTCGTATATAAGTATATCACTGTGTTTTGTTTGTTTGTTTAACCAATCACGGTAGAAAAAAAAATAACAAAATGTACTACTAAACCTTTATGTATGATAATCATGATAATATATTTTTTTTTCAAAAAAAATCATTATTAACTTTTTTCTTCTATTAATAAGTTGCAAAAAACTATGGGGATATCATTTTTTAGGTTGAAGATGTTTTTGTTTAAATGGAAAAGACAAATTGCATAAATAGTCCCTATGGTTTGTATATTTCTTTGGCTAAGATCAAAAATGTTTTGGACTCGCAAAAATGGTTCTTTTTATCGTTTGGTTGTGATATTGGTACCTAAAACTAATATCAAATGTTATAAAATAGCCATTTTTGCACTTTAATTTTATATGTTTATTAACTATCGATATAACCCCATCCCCACACTTGATGCTTATTTTCCTTTGATATCACATGCCTCCTCATTAGACCCCTTTGTTGGCCACCTGCAACACCATAAACCACCCCACTGCATATACAAGGTAGCCCACAAAGCAAATTGGTAGCCCAACATGATTCAGTGTTTTTGCACGTGCTGTGTGTTCTCCGAGCAACAAAAATAAATCGAATTCCATTCACGCGTGTGTGTTTTGACAGGAACAAAAATTGATGTTCCTTCCTATCTTTAATTTGAATTGCATGTGAATAGGGGGTTTCCAAGGAATCAATGCACATAGTTTGTCTTTTTTTCATTCACAACGGTTTTCTTCCTCCCCCCCCCCCCCCCCCCCCCCAATTTCAATTTTCAAACATGAATCAGAAAGAAATGAAGATATGTTAAACAAGTTTTTTTTGTTGATCAGGCCAGATGTTGGTGAGTTTGCAATGGTGGTAATGTTATGGAGAGATGGTGGTTGTAAGGTGTATAATCTCCCAACAATGGTTTTGGTTAAAAAACAAAGGGCAATGAATTGGTGGTAGTTAGGGTTTTTGTGTGTCTGGTTCACAACTTCGAACCCCAGAACAAACGCTTTAATTAAAGAAGATGAAGGGCTGGTGAGAGCAGGCGGATGTACGGGGATCGAGGCGTGCAAGTAGATGATATGAAGAGATCGGAGGAGGTAGGTAGCGTTAGAAAAGTGAAGATCAAAAGAGAGAGATAGAAAATAGATCGTAACACCCCATTGTCCTAAGTTCAACTTAATGAGAAAAAAGAAAGAAAATTGACGGAAATGAGAAGAAAGTAAAAAAAAAAATTGGTGTTTTATAGTTTCATTAAAGGAATGAAGTGGAGGGAAATGGAATGATCACTTTCCCTTCCAACTTTCCTTTTAATTTGGAAAGATTTTGAAAGAAATAACAAAATGATTAATTTTCCTTCTACTTCTCTCCGACTTAAGAACACAAAAGAAAATTTTATTTTTCTTTTCTTTCTCTTATTTTCTATCATGATTTTCTTTTCTCTTCTTTTATTTTCTTTTCTTAAACTTGGTAACTAGGCGAAGGGATGTTCTTAGAGTTTTATTTAAAGGTAAAACAAAATTAACAATTAATAAAATAAAAAATAAAAAGTAAAAAAGTCATTTCAGCACACTTAACCTACTAAAACTAACCGTTTTTAGTTTTAGGGACCAATCCATAACTAAACAGCTAAAATAAAAAGACTATTTAAGTCTAAAATTTTTTGGATCTTAGCCAAAGAAAAAGTCAAACCACGTGACCATTTTTATAGTTTTATCAATTGAAAAAAAATCTTTGAGTGGTGAAATGAAGACGTTTCAAACTAGATTAAGTTTTATAGAAGGCCTTTATGTAGTGCTTTTCTAAAAATAAAAAACAAACAAAAACGTATACAAAAACAAAAACAATCTCTTAAGATTTAAAACCGAATAAAATAAAGGGTAAATTACATAAATGGTTTCTTTGGTTTAGAATAACATGTACGTTTGGTTTCTAACTTTTGTTTTTAACTCGGACCATCCTTATGATTACTTTTGTTTCATACTTAGCCCCTAATAGACCTAAAATGGCATTTATACATTTTTATTATTTTTTTATTATGATAATCTTATTAAAAAAAGATTTAATAAAATATAGATGTGGGTCCCACCCCTACCTTCTACCATACAACCTTTCTTCTCCTTTAAACACCCTAAAAATAGATCACCAAGCCCAAAGTTGCCATCTCGCCAATAACCTCTCCAAAGTTGGCACCACCTGTCAAAAGGCTCTTCAAAGCATACATCGACTGCCGACCAAGCGCCCCCACCTTTATACTATGTTGGAATGGAGATGATCCCGATCTTGAAGTCGTGTGTGTTTGAGACGATCGTACTGATGATTGCTTAATAGATGTTGTCATAATTGGCAATTCTTCGAGTATTTGAGTTTGGAAAACGAAAGGGATCAATAATGGCAATATAAACATCTGTTGTTTGAGAAACATGGATTCGAAGCTTGAAGGGATGCCGAATTTGAATATGGTCAAAATGATGATTGACCACTATGGCCCTAGTGTTCACTTCCATCCCGACGAGGTATACATGTTGTCATCGTCGGTGTCATGGTTCTTTGAAAACAACGCAATTCTGTTTAAAAAAAATGAAATCCGATGAGTGATCAATCGATATCGGAGGATGAAAACAACGATAACTTCATCAAAAACAGGAATCTCAAAAGTGAAGAGCTCTAAGAGGTTGTTTGGATAAGAAAAAAAAATAGAGAGCTTTTAGCTTATTGTTTATCCCCACCGCTATAAAGTAAGTTGAACATACAGAAGGGGGGACAGGGATGAGGGTTAGATGTGGGTCATATTTTACTTTATTGTATTGTCTAAAAAAATAATAAAAGTAATAAATAAATGACTATTTAATTAATTTAATTTTCAAAAAAAAATGCAAGTGAGGGCAAAATATTTTTTTGTGTATGATAGGGACCACAGACGCAATAAAAGGATACCATAAGAACCATCCGAGTTAAAAAAAAAAAAAAAAAAAATTACTGACCAAACACATAAATTATTCCAAACCATAAGGACCATTCGTCTGACTTACTCTAAAATAAAAGAATTATTTTGTAGCTTTACTGAAAATAAAAATAAAAAAGGTATAATGATTTTTTATAGGATTTATTCATATATTTATAATTTACGTTAATGTATATCTACCCATCTAACAAAAAGAGTTCATGATGAGTAAAGATGTTCTATTTTATATCTACTATTTTAAATTTTGTTGCTATTTTTGATCTCCGATTAGTGCTTGTGTGTGTTTTAACCTCACAGATTTATATAAACTGTATGAACTATATATGTCGGTGGTCATTTAATTAATCTAGAAAGAAATATCCTACCTAATAAATAATTTTTTTTGTCATATGTCATCTTCTCTTTTATTTGGATATATGTTATTTTCTAGATTTTTTAAATTTTCTATTTTTCACTTGTCATTTTATTGTATTTTTTATTAAATTAAAATTCCATTTTTAATATGTAAGTTAATATATATGTAAAGTATTTATTAGAAAGAGTTTATATATGTAATGTATTGAATATATTCAAGCCTCGTTAATTTTAATAATTCAAAAAAAAATTTCATATTTCCTTATAAATTCAAACTTTTCAAATTGTTAAAATTTTATATTTAATTTTTTTAAAATAAACCTATATAATATATAGGTCTCACACCTAATCATATAAAATAATAAATAATTCAAGAATTGACAACGCTAGCACCCAATGTTACAATATTCAAATGTTTCCGATATTAAAATCGGTACCACATGTGGTAGGGAGTGGTAGGGAATGATTTCAAAACTCAAATCAATTTTATTTTATTTTTTATATTTAGGGTACAAGTTAAAAAAATATGGATTAGGTTTGGTTGGTGTACAAATATGTTGTTTTTAAAATTTGAAAATAATTAATTTCTCAAAAGAAAATAATAATACCACATTAGCACAATGTTGTATATATTAACATATTTGACATGTTTTTCGTCTAAGCTACATTTTTACATTTTACTAGACCAAATAAAAAGAAAATATAACTCATATATTCATAACTAAATTGATCAAATTTATCACTTGTAACAATAATCGTTAAAATTACATATGCTAGTTATTGAGAAAACATAGTATAACAAATTAAAGTCAATATAAATGAGCCGATGCTATCTCGATTTGATGACCTTAAGCTACATCCAAATTCGATTTGAGAGTTTGTATAGCATATACATATTGCATAAGGTGGGAAACATAAATAAAAAAATAGATTTTTTAGTATTATTATTTTAATTTCGACTTTTTTCTATAAAAACTGTATTTGTATCTCATCAAGAACATCTTTTAATTCAAATGAACATGAAACCTAACTTGAGAGAGAGAGAGAGAGAGAGAGAGAGAGAGAGAGAGAGAGAGAGAACCTTCAGCTGGATTGGTGGTGCTTTGAGCTCGAGTTATGGCGGCGGAGATCATCAAGCACAACCACAACAACAACCACGATGACATTGCAAAAATCTTGTTGCCTCTGCAGTCATGGCCTAAATCAGTCATTGCTTCCGTTCAACAATACCATTTCAACAATACCATTTCACATCATATTCAACTATTGATATATATAAATGTATAAAAAGTGTACGTAAGCAGACTTTTCTTCACATGTATAAATGCATAGATGGTGAAACAAACTTTTCTTCTTCCCAGTTGAGTTGAAAGCAATGTTTGGTCCTAGTGGTCGGGTGGGGTCGGTTTGTCTTAAATACCGGATGTAAAAGCTGAAAAAAATTGTATAAAAAAATTGGGAGGTCGTTGACCACTGAAAAAATTGGATAAAATTACAGGTTGTTGTTGCTAGCCGAAAGTGACATAATTAAAACTCTGAAATAGGTTATATATTTGGTATGAAAATCGACAAAGAGGACAAATCGATTTGTCCTCTTTGTCGATTTTCATACCAAATATATAACCTATTTCAAAGTTTTAATTATGTCACTTTCGGCTAGCAACAACAACCTGTAATTTTACTTCTTTTCCTCTGCCAGATCATCCTTTCTAAAACATACCTAAAGCTTAAAGGAAATATAGATGGTTAGTGGTCTCCTGATTGCTGCAAAATCATAACATGGAAATACATTTTTGTGAGAAAAGTCCTCTTAAAACATTTTCTTAAAAAGATTTATAGGTGTAAATTGTAACTTAGTATTGGAACCGATTCAACTTATTCTTGCAACTGATTCAACTTATTCTCACAACTGCTTCAACTCTAAGTCTTGGAAATTTGAACTGATTAATAAAATAATTGTAAGATTGATCATGGAAGTATTAGTAAAAATGGATATTTGTTAACAACAACCCAATGGATGATGGAACTTGTTTGCATTTCTTTCACTGAGATGGTTTTCGTTTAATCGTTTTGTTACACTTACTGTTTTCAGACTACATATTGTTTTGTTACACCACATTGAGTATGGTTATGGTCAGTAAGGTCAATAATATTATAAAGTAAAAGTAAAAATGTAATAGAAATATGTTTTTACCTTGAATTACAACTACAATCTTGCTTCCGTTTTGGATCAAATAAATCATTGCCATAGAATGATAATTTGTGACATGAATGGTACATAATAGAAAAGTAGATTGGTAGCTTGGTTAGAAAGCATGAAGAGTAAAAGATCAAATCACAGTAGATGGTAAAAAGTGGAAATACGAAACCACAATAAAAACTAAAAAAAGATAAACTGAATTACATGTCAATCATATATTATTATTAATTGTATATGATTGAATGTGTGTGTGAGTAAACAGATGGAGGTATTGATGATATGCATAGGACAAATAGATGTAGAGATTATTAACCTGTTTCTTTCTTTATGCAGAGGTCGTGAGTTGAGATTTAAAGGAAAAATCGATGTAGCACTTAGAAATACGAAAATATTGAATTAGTGGACGCTTCTTCTTAGGTATGATACAAATAACAATCTCAGATTTGAATGTTATTTTATTATCTACTGATTAATGTATGTAAGAAATTTCTTAGTTAAATGTACAGTGTTTAACGATTTGCCCTAATCAGTTCAAGATTTTTGACTTACAGTTATATATTGAAGGGATGCCGATTAGAATGTTTCTTTTTTCTTCCTATAATAACAATTTTAAATAATACTAATGTATTTTATTACCTCTAAATAACGTCGTTGAGCATACGGTCTACATCCGTGAGCACTTGTGTGTGGAAGTTTCGACCTAGTAACTTTATTTTTTTTCCGACGTGCGTCTGTATTCCTCGGTTAAAAACAACAAATCAATTATATCATTCCAAGTTTGGGCAGTCCAATCATCCAGTGGACATCTTCTTGCCCTTTCCACATTACGATATCCACCAACTCTATCAAAATGTTTTTTTATCTGATACTTGTGCTCTCGATAAGCTCTTTGCATATCTGCTTGGATACCCGCTCGAAGGGGTTCCCACAAGTTTGTCCCCCGATACCTATCAATATCAAAATAAGTCTGCAAAAGGAAAAACATATTTGATTAGTAAAAAAAATATTTAATAAGTGTAAATTCAATACATATAAAATGTATTGTATATTTACCTCTAGCTCGGGATATAAATCAACTTTGTACTTGGCAGGAACACGACGGCAAGTATGATAATGCAACGGTACCTTTGATCCCACCAGATTTGAGATCAGTCTGACAAACATTTGCCCGTTGTCCCCTATAAATCGATACGTCCGCCCGGAGATATCAATTAGCAATTCCAAAGGCTTACACTTGTTTTTTTCATACTCATCGTACAAATTTAAGTTTCTCCCTTTGCCACGCACATTCACATTCTTCGCTTGTGCTATATTTACATATACAATTGGAAATTTAGAAATTTAAAACATTAATATATCTAATAGTTGAAAATTTCATATAACTTACAAGATTGGCAACCCGATGGTACACCACGTGCAATCCCGTGTGGAGGTCTATCCCCACCGTCTCCTCCGTGTCCCCTTGCGACTTCTGTCATCTGTTTAACAAATATTATAAACATTCAGAATATATAATAAAATTACAAATAAGCAACATTTCAATATTTAACAAATATTATAAGCAATCAGGATATATAATAACAATAACATACCGTCAATCAGATTCATCACTAGAACAATATACATGTACAACATCATCATCACTGTAATAGTTTTCATTATTTATTTCTTCATCTGAAGAGTACGTATCATCATCGTCATTTTCATCGTTAATGAAATCGTCATCGTTTATATTAGGAGCAACATTCCTCCTAGCAACCACACTTGATTCAATCGTCAATATTATGCTTGTCGAACCTTTTCAGAACTACGCATGTTTACATCAATTTTTAAATGTCACTAGTTTAAATTTTTAAAGATATACCTTTTGATGTATCAATATTTGAGCTTATATATTTCTAATTTTACGCATAAATTTTTGTAAAAGATATAACATGTTGTTAAAGATAAATTTTAGAGTTATGAATTCGTTTATGAATTTTGGGTCGGTTGAGATTATTGAATATCTTTTACCATATTGGATTCAATCATGAATATCTTTTTATGAGTGTTCTTTATATATTCACTATAGAATAAATTAATATGATTTATATTGGAATAATATTCACTATTCGAGTACATTTGATGTATATACTATATTACGTTTTTTACAAATTAATATTTGATGATATTGTTAAATTGTGTTATTAGTTGGTATTTACACAAGAATTTATGGATGAAAATCATAAAGACTATATTTGTATAAACTATACCATTACATTTGTTATATATATATATATATATATATATATATATATATATATATATATATATATATATATATATATATATATATATATATATATATATATATATAACAAACAATACAATTATAAAAAAAATTAGAAAAACAACAAACAACAACACAATCACATATATATATATATATATATATATATATATATATATATATATATATATATATATATAATATATATATATAGACACACACACAAACAACAAACAATTTCAACACAATTCAAATTCAATTTCAAAAAAAATTAGAAAAAAAAAAAAAAAAAAAAAAAAAAAAAAAAAAAAAAAAAACTAACCTTTTGTTCTTGTGATGTTCTGTTTTTTTTGCTAGTCAAAGAAGCAAGGTGGTGGCTGGTGGTGATTTCAAGCGGCAACACTAGGTGGTGGAAGGTGAGGTAGTCACTAGATCGGTGGAGCTTCACCACCGGTTGCTACACTTAGATTGGGTTAATCGCC